TTTTTTTGTGGAACTGGGTATCACACTTGGGACTTTATGCTTGCCAGGCAGGCACTTATACCACCAAGCTATATCTCCAGCTCTGAACATTTTTATTACTGAGGAGACTTCCCTGCATGACAGGACAGACTATACACCGAACATCTCCTGGCCCTACTCTCCCTTGTGTCACCACCATCTGCTCCCCTTTTTATGGTACTAGGGTTGGAACCCAGGGTGGCTCTACCATTGAGCTACATCCCCCCAGCCCTTTTTATTTTTTTCCCCAGCCCTTTTTAAAATAAAATTTATTTTGTGTTGAGACAGGGTCTTGCTGTGTAGTTCAGGCTGGCTTTGAACTCACTACATAGCAGAAACTGGCCTTGAACTCCTGATGATCCTCCTGTCTCAGCCTCCCAACTCCTAGAATTATGTATGTGTGCCACCATACTTTTTTTTTGTTTTGTTTTGTTTTTCAGAACCGAGGATTGAACTCAGGCCCTTGCAGTTGCCAGGGAAGTGCTTATTCCCCTGAACCATCTCCCTGGCCCCAGGGAAGCCATTATTTTCTATGGTCTTTTCACTAGAGAAATAATTGGTTTCTGCCTCATGGATTTCATTTTGAGCCATTTTGGTGCTGACACATACAACTCACCACCCACCACTTTTTTTTTTTTAAGCATCTTAATGAGTTAAACAAAATATTTGATGTTTTCATCATGTATTTGTATAATGCCATCATCGTCCTTTATCTCATTTCCCCTTTCCCCCTGCCTGCTAGGAAGCAAAAAGGCAAAATTTTCAGCCCATACAGGAAACGTTGATGAATCAAGTTCTGCAAAATGTTATTGGAATTGTTGCCGTGCTGTTGTAGTCTTTAAGATCCATTGTAGTACGCTGCCCCAAATCCCAAGGAGAGGGGAGGCTGGTGTTATAGAAGAGAATGCTCAGCCCCTGCCACAGCCTGCTGTCCTCAGCAAGCCTCTCTCTCTCTCTCTCTCTCTCTCTCTCTCTCTCTCTCTCTCTCTCTCTCTCTGCCAGGAGGCAGGACCTCCCTGTCTCCCTGTGACCCCACTGCTGGACGCCCCTGGGGAGCATGCCTGCCATGCAGAGGCCCATCTGGACCTGGCTGGAGCTCATGTCATGGTCACATCCTAGTTACACTTCCACCCTGACCACTTCTTTCTACAGAGGGCAGGATTCAAATGAAGGACAAGTGCCGAGGATGTTAGGACACATAGGAGCTTGGGGACAAGCAATAGACACGTGTTCAGGAGAGGAACTGCTCCCTGGGGTCCTGGGAGCTGCATCCGCCTGCAGAGCAGTTCTGATGGGGCAGTTCTGATTCCACGTGACATTGAAAGCAGATCTTCACTGTGACCTTACAGGAAAGGCCCACACACACCAAGCCATGAGGCAGGACAGGGTGTGCAGGACACCTACCGTCTGACCCCAACCCAGAGCCCTTCATCAGTGTCCTCTTGCCCTGTTTTGCACACAAAGTCACCTGCCCAGGCACAACTGGCAAGAGTCCAGGACTGGGCTCTAGGAGTTTGGCTCCAGGGGCTACTTCCTCCCAGCTTCCAGGCTGTCCTCTCTGCTGCTCCAAGCGCTCACACTGTCCAGCCCCGTGCAGAGTCTTGCCCCAACCCCCTGCCACCCTTGTCTGGAGCTGGGGTCCCTTCCTCTCAAACCACACTCAAGTCCCTGTGGCCCTTCAGGATTTGCTCCAGGATCACCACCTCCAGGAAGCCTGCCACCCCCAACCCCTCTCCTCCTCCTCCAGCCAGCAGACCAGAGCCCACCGGGAAGATGACCCAGGTCCTTCCTGAGGTCCTTTCACACAGGTGAATGCTCTGCCACCAAGCCTCACACTCACAGACACCACGCACATTAACACCTACACCCGTTCCACCCATATCTACTTATAATTCAAATTCTTGGCCAGGCATGGCTGAGACACCTGTAATCCCAATACTATGGGAGGCTGAGGCAGGATTGCAAGCTCAAATTATCTGTTTGGGATATCTAGCAGGAATTGCCTCAAAACTTTTAAGAGGCCCAGGGAGATGGCTCAGTGGAATAAGCACTTCCCTGGCAAGCACAAGGGCCGGAGCTCAATCCCCGGTTGGGGGGGGAGGCTTTTTAGGAGTGGTTGTTGTTAACTTGGTTTTGTTGTTGCCTCCTTTTATTCCCGGCAGGTGTTGGGTTGTTTAGGGGATAGCCATGAGTTGGAGGCCAGCCCGAACAGACTTAATGTTTGCCTTGGTGTATTTTGGGGTTTGTTTTGATCCCAATGCTTTGTATCCCCTTATTTGTACTGTCTGGAATGGTAATTTTTTATGGCTGGCTCAACCCACCCTGGGGGCAGGGCTGGCACAGCCCGTAGTGCCAGGGATCAAATGTGGTCCCTGCACGCTTTGCCTAAGCAGACACTTTAGACCACTGAGCTATCTTGCCAGCCCCCAGAACGGTAATGTTTTTCTTGCGCCATTGGATGCTGGAAGTGTAACTTTTCATTTGTACAGGAGCTCACAGCTAAGAGTCTGCCTTAGAACTTGGAGACTTGACTTGGGCACACTTAAGAGATGGACTAAAATGCCTTTTGCATAAGGGATATACAGGAGTCTTTGGAGGGTCAGGGGCGGAATGTTATGGTTGTCTAGGCGTTTCCCCAAAGCCTCATGTAGTCATGGGGGGCACTTCTAGAGGTTGTAATTTGTGATTCAATGCGGGGCATCTGGGTGTGAACGCTACACTCCCCCTGGGCAGACAGCCTGGACGCAGTAGAAGGGAGGGCGGGCTGCTGCCACTGCTCCTGCCTTTTTCTTCTTGTTTTGGTTTTTTCCACTGCCATGAACTGCTGCCCTCTGCCGTGTACCACTCTGCCTTGGAGCCAGCCAAGTATGAACTGAAACTTCCACAAACTGAGCTAAATAAACCTTTCCTTCCTTAGTTTTGGGTGTCAGGTATTCTGCCCCAGCAATAAGAGGACAGACAGAATTAGTTACTGTGAAAGATGGTTTCAAAAAAAAAAAAAAAACACCTTTCAGTGACAAGGCCTGCTGGCACCCTCCATTCGAGCCCATGACAGGATCCTAAGCATTGGCTAATACAACCCATAGTGACCACCCGGCTCCAGGCAGGCAGCAGAGCAAAGACCACAGTGCTACTTTGGGGACCCAGTCATCTCTGGTCTTTGGGCATCTAACAGTTCAGCATGTACCTTCTTGTCACCCATAGATAAGGGGAACAAGATGTCCCCTCACCTCCCTGGAGCCACACCTGTGGGGCCAGAGGCCCAGATTCTCTGCTAGTCTGGAAGCCAGACCAGCTGGGTCCACCTTGCCTTTTTTTGGCGGAACTGGGGATTGAACTCAGACCCTTGTGCTTGCCAGGCAAGCACTTATTCTACTGAGCCATTTCCCTGGCCCTCCCACCTTGCTTTTATCCGCAACAGCTTCTACTATTGGCCTCTTCGGAATTTAACTGTACACTTTGCTGTGGGAAAAGGTCCCCGAGCCCTGGAAGGAACTGTTGGCCCAAGCCAGGCAGACAGCACACAGGCTTCCCTTCACAAACCATACCTTGTGGCCAACAAGGTACTTGACTGTGCTACCTTCTCCCCGCCCCAACCCTGAGCCTCAGAGCCAGGGTCTTAGCACTGAGCTACATTCTCAGCCCTTTTTAGAGACAGGATCTCACCAAGTTGCCCTGGCTGGGCTTGAACGCACGATTCTGCCTTAGCTTCCTTGAAAGCTAAGATAGCATATACCATGAAGAACTGGTATACTGCTTGAGCCCTTACGCAGACAGTCTACCCTGTCCCAAGCAGCCATGACGGATCCCAAAATCCTACCTGTCAAGTCACTGAACCATGGTCAGAGTTAGCTTTCTTTTATTGGGAAAGGGACACAGAACGGGAAGCAGTGTGGCACCTCCTGGTAAGACCCAGGACCACAGCTAGGCTCAGAAGTGCCATCATGGCCAGGCCCAAACCCAGAGCCATGGACGTGTGTGCAGAAGAGGCCCAGCCCTCTACACTGTGGTCCCCAGCTTCTCCCAGGAAGATCAGTGGTCCCACAGTAACGTCTGCTTCTTCTGTCACTGAAAGGAAAGGACACCTGAAGGTCACTTCAATTCCTAATGAGGAGCCATGGGGTTTTTCTACCCTGCCTAAACGTGCGGATAAAACACTGGTGCCGGGGCCGGAGAGATGGCTCAGTAGAATAAGTGCTTGCCTGGCAAGCGGCAAGGGCCCGAATTCAACCCCCGGTTCTGCCAAAATAATAATAATAATAATAATAATAATAATAATAATAATAATAATAATACACTGGTACCAACAGCTGCATTTATTTTCAGTCATACTTAGGATTGAAGCCAGGGCCTTCACATTGAGCTATACCTAGCCATTTTTCCTCAAGACAGGGTTTTGCTAATTTGCTCAGCTGGGCTTGAATTTACGATCCTCTTGCCTCATCCTTCCAGAGTGCTGGGATTACAGCCTCATATGCCCAGAAGCACCAAAATTTCTGTGCCTGGCTCAAAAATACATCCTTTGAGTAAACAGCCCTGTGGCAGGACAAGGGAGTATCACCACAAAGGGAGGGCAGGCGTCCTAGTAACCTCCCAATGACGTACCATGTCTGCGGTTCCGTGGAAGCGGAAGCGTCTCGAGTCTCTGGCTCAGGGGCTGCCTCTTGGGATAGCCTGGACCGCCACAGTTGCCCTCGTCACAACACTTACAGATGTCAGCAGCACCTTCTACTGGTGACCAGCTGAGAGGGAAGACAAGCAGCTTAGGTTTTCCTGCCTGGCCAGAAGTGGCTTCCTGAGAGTCTGTTAGGCACAAACGGACACAAGGGCTCCCAGGTTTCCACAGTGGGAAGGCAGAATGTGGTCTGCTCACCTATTGGAAGACTTGTTGAAGGAGCAGGCTTTGTTGAGTTGGTCTGGGACTTGGCCAGCTGGCGTAACCTTCAGATGGCAGGTGATGTAGATCTGAAAGACAAGGCCGAGCTCTAGGGTGTGCTGGCGACTTGCAGTCCTAGGGTTGGAGCCCAGTGCCTTTGCACTGAGCTGCATTCCCCACTCTCTAACTTTTTACTTGGAGATAGGGGCTATGTTGCCCAGGCTGGACTCCACCTTACATCCCGCCTCAGCCTCTAGAGTTCTAGAGTCACAGGCATGCTCCACCAGAGACATTAACTTGTCAGGTAATCCTCTAGAGTTTGAAATGGGAGGTGAGGAAAGCACCCCATCTCTGGAGCAGTGAATATGTAAGCTTCCCCACCCCTCAGCTGAATAAGGAGCAAGTCTAGACCTGGATTAGAGTCCAGAGTCTTCCACAAGATAATTCTTTTAAAGGGCTGGCAGGGGCCGGGGAGATGGCTCAGTGGAATAAGCGCTCCCCTGGCAAGTGCAAGGGCCTAAGTTCAATCCTCGGTTCCACCAAATAAATAAAAATAAACAAAGGGCTAGCAATCTAGCTTAGTGTTAGGAGCCTGGGTTGAAGCCCTCATCGAACAAGGTCAGTCCATCTCTCCTGATGCCTCTGTCCCTGCTCGCTCACAAGCCAAGGCTGGTGCCTCCCAGAGCCCCAGCCCAGCCCAGGGCCCCTGGGACCTCCCCCGCCTTACCCCTCTTATCTAGGGACATGAGCTCCTAGCCACTGACAGTACATTTGGCCAGGCCACTTCAGTCATCGGTTCATCCCAAGTGAGAGCTCCCTAAACTCTAGGAAGGGCTGTTAACACCTCCCTGCTCCACCCTGAAAGGGCAAGGACGTACTGCCACCTTCTGGCGAAGCCACACAAGTGGCCACAAGCCTCAGCCACCACCTAGTGCCAAATGCACCTGTAAGGAAACCTGTTCAGAATCTTGAAGCTATGTTAAATTTAGACCTTTTTCCACTAGCCAAGTGTACTTCTGTCTACATCTGTCCTATAAGAAAAATGCTTCCAGGTCCTTCAGAGTCCCCTTTCCAAGAAGGAACTGTTTTTGCCCTTAACGCAAGAATGTGGGTGTGCTGTGCATGGTGATGCATGCCTATAATCCCAGCACTTGGGAGACTGAGGCAAGAGGATTGCTCCAAGTTTAAGGCCAGCCTGGGCTACATAGACATACACCATCTAAGAAAAGTGCTTGGGGCAGGGAAGTTCCCCTGCAGATTTTTTTTCTTTCTCTTTTTTTTTTTTTTTTTGCGGAACCGGGAGATTGAACTCAGGCCCTTGCGCTTGCCAGGGAAGCACTTATTCCACTGAGCCATCTCCCCAGCCCCAGAGAACTGAGCTAAGGGGCAGGCCCCCTCCCCTAAAGATCTTAAGCAGAGTGGTTTCTTCTCCCACGTTCCAGGGAGCTGGCCAATACACCTTTCCATCTTTGGGGGGAACTTGTACAGGGCTCAGATTACTTTCCACCAATTCACCTTGTCCTCTGGCTTTGTGGCAGTCCTGGAGATTGAACCTGGGGCCCAGAACATGCTGGGCAAGTGCTTTACTACTGAGACACATCCCCAGGGTTTTGGCTTTTGTTAAACTGTATTTAAGGGGCTGGGGAGATGGCTCAGTGGAATAAGCACTTCCCTGGCAAGCAAGCACAAGGGCCTGAGTTCAATCCCCAGTTCCGCAAAAAAATGAATAAACTGTATTTAGGACAGGGTCTACAGGGTCTCACTACATAGATTGAACTGATATAGTGTTTCTCGTGTTTTCAGCCTCCCAAGTGCTGGGATTACACGTGCACGCCACCACACCCAGTCTGTCACTGTCTCAGCATGCCCTGTGGGGGGTGAGGCCAGCTCGGCCAGCCGGTGATAGAACCCCAGCTTCTGTGCTCTAAGCAGGTGCTTTAGTCTGCTGAGCTATCTGGCCAGCCCTTGGCTTTTTTGAGACAGGGTCTCTCCATGTGGTTCAAGGCTAGCCTTGAACTCAGATCCTGCCTCAGACTCCCAAGTGCTGGGATTACAGGTGTGCACTCCACACCTGGCTCCTTGTCCTCTAAAGCTTGAGGTTTAGAAACCAGTTCAAGTTTGTATGCCTGCTCATACCAGATCATTTGCTGTGTGAGGCCTCATCCCTATCCTGCATCTCTGGAGTCAACCTGGCTCCCTGTTCCAAAGGGGACCTTCTACCCTCAGACCCACAAGACCACCAATCCAGGAACAAAGTTTCTGTACTTGTTCTCTTCCCCAGCCCCATTTTAGGCGAGGACCAGCTATTGATAGCTTCAGACCACCTTATCAATTTTAGGGGAGTGGTGGTGAGCCTGGTCTCATATATAGCCCAGGCTGGTCTTGAACTCAGATCTTCCTGCTTCAGCCTCCTGGGTGGCTGGGATTATAGGTATGCACCACACCCAGCTTCTACTTAAGAGTATGTATTGTTCATACCTCATCCCTGCAGGTGTCTAAAGCCCACAGCTTCAGTTACCCAACCAGTTTGGAACCTTATTAGCACCAGGACAGAGGTAGGAGTAATTTGCTCAAGGGGGAAGGGGTAGGACTCTAATCCTAAGCGTGACCTAGAGTTCAGTCTCATTCTAGCTATTATGAGAATGTTACCGTGTTTCTGGAGTCGTTGGCAAAGTGGAACACATCCACTGTGAACCGGAGCATGTCTGGCCTGGGTCTGGGGGCTTGGAATGTCGAAGAGCTGTCATACTGCCCATCTACAAGGCAGCTTAGAGGGACAAAAATGCACAGTGGTGTTAGAGGCCTGGGAAGGTGGCTGCCAGGCCATCTTGTGATGAAGGCTCCCACACAGGTAGCCTGGTCTCACCCATGGAAGTCCACGATGGTGTGACGAGGGAAGGCATCCTGGTCTGGTGTCGGTGTGGCCACACAGTAGTCCACAAAGAGCTGCAGTGGCGGGTGGCTGCCAGTGTGGACCTCTGCCTGCAGGTAGGCTGCCTCTCCCAGGTAGAAGGTGGGAGATGTCTTCTCCATGCTCCAGTTCTCTGGGGACACAGACTGGGCTAGAGACTCTCCACAGCTTCCTCTAGCTTCCCCCTTGCAGCCCCCACTCACCCTCCATCAGGCGCAGGGAGAATGCCAGCTTCTCCTCTGAGGACACTGTGGTTCTGAAGGGCACCCAGGTGGGCAGGATCGCCTGGCTGCTCACGTTGCCATGCCTAGAGAAAGAGCCACAGCTGCCCACCATTGAGGGTCCCAAGGGTAGCTCCCCCAGGCAGCAAAGCCAAGGCAGCCTGGCCCACAGCCCCCCAGAGCAGCTCCATCTGGGAGCAGCCTACTATCCTAAGTGGGAGCCAGGGCACATGGGCTGCCGCTTGGAGACAGCGACTCCTGATGCCAGAGCTTGGTTTCTAAACCGAGATCTCAGCCAGGTGCTGAGGTACATGCCCAGAATTCCAGCACTCTGGAGGCTGAGGTAGGATTCCACCAGGCCTGGAGTGGGGTCTTCTGCTGACCTCGGGTATCGGCACTCGATGGGAACTTCCGCACGGTTGGTCCTCACGATGGAAAGGTTTCCCACAGGCCGGGGCGTGTGGAGAAGGAAGGTGCTGTATACCAGGGCATCGTTTGTCACCTGCAACAGAGGTGCAAGGTTAACCCTAGTAGCACCAGGGCACTCAGCATGCTGGGCCCATGCCAGGCTCTGTACTCGGACCCAACCAGTGCTGGCCAGTAATAAGAGGCTGGCTAGCTGTTACTTCTGTACATCACCTGCCATTGACATCCTGTCAGGGTGAGGGTTCTGGACCAATGACAGGAGACATCAGGAGGAGCATAGTGACATCAGGAAATGCCCCCAACTTCTCACTTGGCATCAACTCAAATGCTTTTCTGCAGTACTAGGGATTGGACCCAGGGCCTTCACACTGAGCTACGCCCCCAGTCACTTTTGTTTTGAGACAGGGTCTAAGTCACCCAGGCTGGGCTTGAGCTTTCAACCCTCCTGCATCAGCCTCCCAGAATGCTGGGATTATAGGCAGGTACCACAGCAGCTACAATTTCTTTTAAAGACCAAACCACAAGCAGACAATTGCTGAGCACTTCCTGCCCAGCTGTTAATACTTGTCACATATCCTCAGCCCACTTTACAGAAAGGACAGCTGGCTGCCCGAGGGGGAGGGTAGACACATGTGGTGGGCTGTTTGTATGGGGGAGGGGCCTGCCTGGAAAGGGGATTCCCTGCACCCCTGTGGGGTCCCCTAGGTCTGGCCCAGACCCTTTCTAGCAAGTGCCCAGAAATGACCAGCAGCATCACTTGTGGAGACCTTTAGGTATTTCAGAGCATAGTGGAGCATGCCTGTAATCCCAGCACCTGGGGGACTGAGGCAGGAGGATTGCAACTTCTAACCTTGGCAATTTATCAAGACCCTGGGCTGAGAAGATAAAGGACTAGGGATGTAGCTCTGCACTAAACCTCTAGTATTGTAGGGGCAAGCACAAGGCTCTGGGGGACTTACAGGCACCCGCCTGCAGTGCAGGCAGAGCCAAGTGCTTCTCGTGGGGCAGGAGCGGGCACATCACCTGAGAAAGGAGCCACCAGGTTGCAGTCACCTGGGACGCGATGCTAATGCTGCTGGCTGCCTCCCACTTCAGCATGGGGTGCAACTTGAACCTCAAGGATTTTTTAAAAGCCTCCCATCCCAGGCCCCAGCGTGGAAGTGTGGGCAGGTCCTCCGTAGGACAGCTGGAACGTGGTCTCCAGGCTGGGGAGAGCCGGGAGCTGTGTGCTGTGCTCCATCCCGCATCACTGACAGGCGCCCCCTAGCGGTCTGAGTATCATATCCCCAGCGACCTGGGGAGGACTCAGACCTGGATTAGGCAGAACTCTTCCGGCTTTCACGGCCCACGCAGACCTCCCCAAAGCCCCAACGCCAAGCCCCAACGCCTTCAACACAGACGTATCACAATGCTCCCTGCTCAGGCCATGTGTAGTTCAAAACTTCAAGCCATTCCACAAGAGAGGCCAGGATTCTGGTGTTTTTTAAACTTTGGACATTAAATGAAAGAGGAGGTCTACCACTGAGCTACATCCTCTTTTCTTAGGTACAGAATCTGGCTGAATCGCCCAAACTGAGCTCAAATTCTTTTTGAGACAGGGTCTCACTGTGCAGCCCCGGCTGGTCTTGAACTCGAAACGATCCTCCACCTTCCTAGTGCTAGAATCCCAGGATTACAGGTGTGAGCCACTATACTCTGCTCCGCCTTCCCCTATAGCAGTTACTTTAGGGCTTCTTGAAGCAGTTCTCTTCCCAATAAGGTTCCAATGGCTCTAGCCAGTGCCTGGACTACCCACAGAGTTAGCCCTTCTTCCTCCTGCCACAATGTGCTGATGACTCTGGCATTCTGTCCCCTGGGGACAGTCAGAATGGCCCAGAAAGTCCTGTCACCTCTGGAATTCCCTGATTTTAGCAACTGGAGCAGGAAGCATCCCCTGCTCCCCTCTGCCCTGAACCCCAACCCTGGGCTTCAGCTGTTCCCCCTACCCCTACTGGGCAGCCCCACTTGCTCCCCATTTCTGGCCTGTTCCGTACCCCGCATGCCAGGGTCCTGGCCTCACCTGCACGCTGCTGCCACACTCATGCACCCCAACCTCAAACTTGACCACGGTGTCATCCATGGCTGAGGAATCCAGGGGCCGGCAGCCCTCAGGCCCCAGAGTGAGGTCACCAGGCTGGACAAGCTTCCCTGTGCCAAAGAGGTCTCTGTTGACTGTGACCACCAGCTGAGCTTCCAGACACTGCACGTGTATGGGTGGCAGGAAGGGCACAGGGGGCCGGGTTCCACCCTGCAAGGGCCAGAGGGACTGGGAGCAGCACAGCTTGGTGTTCCCCAAGAGGAACAAGCACAGCAAAAGCCCAGGCTTCAGCTCCATGGTGCCGTGAGAGCTGTGAGACTGACTCCCGTGGCACACAGGAGGACCCTGGCCCAGCCCTCTTATAGGCTCCCAGCTGCCTTCGTTCCTCACCCAGCCAGCCCTACCTGTGTAAAGTACCCCCGGTGCAGCTTGTTAGAGGAGATAGGGTACCTTTTGTGTAGGTGGTACCGGGAATTGAACTCATGACCTCACACTTGCCAGGCAGGTGCTGTGCCGCTGAGCTATTTCCCCGGCCCTTGGTTTGGCTTATAAGATGCAGGGCTCTCAGTCTCCACCCATACTGACAATCATGGTTGGCCTGGTGGCTCTGAGATCCCAAGGGATTCCTAAATTAAAGTGCTCTGGAAGCCTCCCACCAGCACAAATTTCTTACTCCTTCCCCTACTCCGCCTCGTGGGTCCAGTTCTTTGCCAGACCCTAATTTTTAGTTTTTAGTTTTTGAGACCAATAAGAATTAAAATAGTTGCAGCTGAAGCTCAGGGGCTGAGGCAGAAGGATTACAGATTCGAGCCCAGGCTGGGCAACTGAGCAACTTAATGAGACCCTGTCTCAAAAAATAAAAAAAAGGACTGGAGGTGTAGCTCATAGCAAAGTCCTTGGGATCAATCCCCAGTACCACGCACAGACATACATCATACACACTAGCATTTAATTCCTGGGGCAAAGAGGGTACGCTCATTTGCACACTTGAACCTTCTGTGGGCAGGGTTAATACTCTAGCGTACTTTGGGGAAAATACATGGAGAAAAGCAACCACCCATAATTCCATCTGGTCTGACCACTGTGGGGGAGGGTTGAGCAACCAACAGAGCTAGTCAGAGCGCAGAGCCTAGGCTCAAGTTCACCTGAATCCCCAGCCCTGGGGAAAACGTCCCCCACTGGGTTTCCTGTTTTGAGGACCAAAGGAAGGAGACAGCTGTGGCCTGAGGCCCGGAGGGACTGGGAGCTGGGATCTGTCCTAGTTGGGGCTGCGCACAGGAGAGGCCAGGTTCACGCTCATTACTCACAGCTGAGGTGGCTGATTGTGCTGAAGTAGAGAGGGCTGGGCAGGCCATTAGGCCTCTCTGAAGCTGCCTATCCATCCTTACCCCTCCCTGCCATGGAGCTTCAGAAAAACGACCAAAAGAACCTGGTATAAGTGGTGCATGCCGGAGTCCCATCTGGAGGATCACATGCTTTGGCTTTTCTGAGACAGGGTCTTGCTACATAGGTTCAAGGCTCTGCTGGCCTTGAACTCACTGTGTAGCCCAGGCTGGCCCCAAAGCTATGTGAATCCTCCTGCCTCAGCCTCCAGAGTGCTGGGGTGGCAGGTGTGCCCCACCTCACCTGGCAAGGATCACAAAATTTGAGCCCAGCCTTTAGGAACTTGGTAATTTAGCAAGGCTGTCTCAAGAACTGAAAAAGGGTTTGGGTGTATGTAGCTCAGCGTGTAGGCCCTGGGTCTAATCTCCAATAGTACACACACACACACACACACACACACACACACACACACACACGAAGAATGTACAGTGAAGAGGGGACCAGGGAGAGTCTGCATGCACAGAGGGTGAGTTTCTCTTTTTCTGGAAAGAAAACTAAAGACTCCTATAACAGTGCAGTTAGTCCTGCCTCCCTATAGAGCCTGAGTTCGATCTAGTTGTCTGAAGAGTGCTGCCCCCTGGTGGCCAGAATGAGCAACAGCTCAAACGACTGGCGGGCGCATTGGAGGACCAAAGGGGTTCCTTGGAGAAATGGCTGGTTCAGAGTTAAAGCTAGGAATATTCAAAATAAACCTGGAATAGCTTATTATACTATCAAATATTCAAATGATGATATGGATGTGACCAAAAACACATGGGTGGTGGAGGCAGAGGAAAAGCTGCAGTTGACCAAAAGGGAACAACTGCACTGACATAAACAACGGGGTCGGGGTGTAGCTCAGCGGTAGAGTGCTTGCCTCGCATGCAGCAGGCCCTTGCATTGATCCCCAGCGTCTCCAGAACAACCAAAAGCCAAAAAGACTATACACTGAACGAAATGAGACTCCAAGCTGGGTGTGACGGCACACACCTGTGATCTTGGGGGTTCACAGAACGCCCGCCCCCAGCCAGTGTACTTCAGTTTCTTCACTGTCCGGGAGGTAGTTCCATTCCAGTTCCAGTTGCTTCGGGTCTGCTAGAAACGGCTGGTCACTGTGACTCCCATTGTAAGAACCATTCCCCAGCTGACAAGGCACTCTGCCTCTGTACTTGCGCGTGCTTATCCGGTGGAAGCCCTACACCAGCAGGTGTCAGGCCTGATGGTCTGGGAATGATCTCAATCAGGGCCCACCAGTGTAAGTAAATCTGTCTTCGAATCCAGGGTGTCGTTTCTGCTTGTCATTTCTCGAGCACTCTGGGAAGCTGAGGCGGGAGGATTGCAAGTTCCAGGACTACCTAGGCAACTTGACTTTTTTTGGGGGGGGGCTAGGGAAGGGTCTATAGGGTGTTCAGGGTTCTCAGTACTAGATCAGACTCATAGTGATCCACCTGTTCACAGCCTCCCAAGAGCTGGGATTACAGGTGCGCACCACTGCGCCAAGTCTCAATTGTTATCTCAGTGTGCCCCGGAGGCAGGACCAGTAAGGCAGGCCTGGGTATGGAAACCCCAGCCCCCCCCCCATGCCCCTGCCTTCCTCTGCCCTCCTCTGCCTTCCCCTACCCTCCCCTGCCTTCCTCTGCCTTCCCCTGCCCTCCCCGCCCCACCCCACCCATTCCCCACCCCCGCCCCTCACCCCCCACTTGCGGGTGCTTTAATCCACTGAGCTATTTGGCTAGCTCTAATGACTTTTGTTTTTTTGAAACTGGGTCTCCTTATGTAGCACAGGCTGGCCTTGAACTCACTGTATAACCTAGGTTGGCCCTGAACTGATGGTGATGGTGATCCTCCTGCCTCAGCCTCCAGAGAGCTGAGGTATCCATGAGCACTACCATGCCTATTTCTGTGTGTGTGTGTTCTGTTGTTGTTCTTGTTTTCGCCCTTTTTTTCTTTTTAGTTTTTTAAAAAGTCTTTTATTTATTTGGTTTTTGATACAGGGTCTCGCTACACAGCTTAGATTGTGATCCTCCTGTCTCAGCCTCCCCAGTGCTGGGATTGCAGGTATGTTCCACCATGCCTAGCTTCAGAGGCTGGCATGACATGTGGTACCAGGGATAGAACCCAGGTCCTTGTGCTTGCCAGGCAGGGGCTTAGACCCCTGAGCTATCTCCCCATCCCTTTTTTCTTTTTCGGTCCTGGGGATCAAACTCAGGACCTTGTGCTTGCCAGGCAGGGGCTTAGACCCCTGAGCTATCTCCCCATCCCTTTTTTCTTTTTCGGTCCTGGGGATCAAACTCAGGACCTTGTGCTTGCCAGGCAGGCACTTATGCTGCTATGCTGCTGAGCTATCTCCCCAGCCCTATCTTTTATTTTTTGAGAAAAGGTCCCACTGTGTATTTCAGGCTGTGCCTGAACTCACTATGTAGCCCAGGCTATCCTTGAACTCATAGTAATCCTCCTGCCTCAGCCGCCTGAGTACTGGGATTATAGGCTCATGTCACCAACCCCAACCTGGAACCCATGTTCTGGTGATGCCAGGCAAGAGCTCTGACACTGAGGTCTACCCACAGCCCCTGCTTTTATTTGTAAATATTAGTCTGGTTTGTTATTTTTTTTTTATAAAAAAGTATCAAATTTATTTTATTTCATTTTTAAATTAGAGCTGTTGGATAATGACTTACAATGTATCACCAGAAGTGCAGTAAACGTTAATAAGCTATCAAATGCTACAGTAAATAAAATTACTGGATCATGCATCTAGAAAAGTCATGTTTAATAGTCAAAAGTTCTGGTTATAGGTAATAATTTTTTTTATCTCCAATTATCTTTTTTTTTTTTAAATTTATTTATTTATTTATTTATTTGTGTGTGTGTATGTGTGTGTGGCTAGCTCAGCCCACCAGGGGGCAGGGCCGGCTGGCATGTGGTGCTGGGGGATCGAACCGCGGTCCCTCTGCTTTGCCGAGCTTGTTCCAAGTAGGTGCCTTAGACCACTGAGCCATCTCACCAGCCCTATAGGTAATAATTGAAAAATCTTTTAGTCTAGACCTAACTATAGCACATCCTTATTTTAAAATAATTTATCTTGTTCGTGCAATTACTATTATGCCCAACCAAATTTTTCCTACTTTTAGGTCTTTACCACTTAGGCAGTATGGCTTACATGTGAACTCTTTCAGAGCTCCTTAAAAAAAAACAGAGTAGTAATCTTCACCTCAACCTGTCTAACCAGAAGTACAGGACATCATTACCATGAAAGTTAAAACAAAGAATGGAACAGAAAACAAGTATATCTATATAACGAGCAAATTATCTGATAATACATTTTAACTCAGAATATTAACTTGGACACTTTAACTGTGGAATATTTCAGTTTTAGCACAAGAAAAAAATGCTTGCAAGGTATTGCAGTGTTTGGCATTTTTACTGCAAGTTTTAAATCAGCATTACTCAAAAACTCATCTCTAAGAAAGTGGCAGTGTTTATAAGTACAAAAATTATTACATCTAGTAGACGGTACTATACATAGACAAAACAAGAGTTTTTTAAAAATTAGGTTTAAAAAAAATGCAGAATGTCTTGATGATAACCAGTTGTCTAAAAAGCTAAAATCAGAAATAGATGTACTTGTTAATATTACTTTGCTCTGAAAGTTAGAATGATCCCAGGAAGTAATGATTTAAAAAGAAACATGTGATTAATATATTGTCTCTTTTAAGCCCAAGCAAACTTTCACTTCAAAGAGGGCAAATTTGACTTTAACACTCTTAAAAGTACAGGACTCTTTTAAACCATTATCGGATTCAAGAAGTCATTTGTTTCTACAGGGTATTTGTATTTTAGAACATAGGTTAAAAAACGGCAAATTACTAAGTGAGTGCCAAAGAATTTGTACTACAGGTTGAATATCCCTTTTCTGAAATGCCTGGAACCAGAAA